GCAGCGGCAGGCGGGGAACCTTGGCTTCCTCCATCACTGGAGCAAGCAAGCCTCCTGTTCGCTTCAGCTGCCTGGCTGCCGGCCGCCATCTTGGTTGGCAGTTAATTTGCATATCGCCCTGATTAGCCAATGGGAAGCGTGTCGGAGGTACGGTTAATTACCATGTTTGTCTACTATTAGATAGGATGAAAAAGTTTAAAACATTGCAGGAATTACCAGAATGTGATACAGAAACATGAAGTAAGCAAATGCTGTTGGAAAAATGGCACAGAGAGACTTGCTCAATGCAGGGTTACTATAAACCTTTCATATATACGTATATTATCTGTGAAGAGCAATAAAGCAAACTGCAATGAAACAAGGCATTCCTGTATAGTTTTTTTAAAGTTGTTTACATTTTGGAAATGTTTTCCTTGAGTATCCTCAAAGAAGTAAATAAATAGTAAATAAATGAAAAATGATTGAAGTAGAAGGAACAATAGAGACATATAAAAAGGATCTATCATGATGCCTGCTGGAAATTCAGAGAAGGCTTCACAGAGGAGACCACACTTGAACTAAATCTCAACAGATAAGAATTTTCTAGGAAAATAAAAGGAATGGATATTTTATGCAGTGGGAGAAAGAGTCCTGCCTCTAATCCAGGACATAGCATTGAGAGAATGGTGAACTGCTAATAGGGTCGATATGACTACAATATAGTAACACACGGCAAAAAAAGAAATGAAGGGAGATAGCAGTAGACTAAATAAGCAATAAATTATTGAAGTTAGAAATTCACAGTACAGCTTATAGTGATGAAAGAGTTCTGGGTGTGGCTATGGGTATAAGTTACTAAAATGGTGTTGAGAGGAAAGAACTTAAACTTACAGAAGTCACAGAATTATGAGACTATGATGTTAGATGGGCTCTCTACATGGATCTAAATGACTATATGGATCATCTACATGACAACTTCACCCTAAACACCAAGATCAGAAAAACCTGAACCATCATGATGTCCAGCCAAAGTGATTACTAGCCAACAAGCCAGTAAGAGCGTAACTGAAATGAAAGACAGTCCTAACAACACAAAGGTCCATGAGAAGTGAAAAAGGGTTCAAAGAAGTCTGTTCTCCATAAGAAATTATTTTTTTTCCTAATCACCATAATCACTATCAGTTTATTCATTATCATCTCCGGATCAACAAAAAAATGGAAATCATACAGTAATCATCATAAAATGTAATTTTAAAATTTAATTTATATCTATTATTTTATTTTAGTGAATATTCAATTATCATTCACCTGGTTCTTAGGTTTTTTTAACCTTAGGTGTTAGTATAGGACTATAGGACTTTACATCTCTTATAATTGAAAAGCCTTTCTCATGTCTTTTAAAATGCTGTAGAAACTTGCAAAGTATAGAGATTAAACATGGCTGTTTGCATTTATTTTTATATAACTCTAACATAAATGTCTTGAGCAAATAATTGCAATATGCTTGCCTATCAATTCAATAGTTTCAAGCAAAGATTCATAAAACAGAAATGGGAAAAAATTTACATTAAAGAAAATAAAACATGAATTTTTACCCATCTGAAATTTTGTTATTTTTTTTAATGTTAAATAATATACACATTCTAATCGAAATATAAATCATCCCATTTACTAAAACTCCTAGTGGTATAAGTATCCAATAGACCCATCTCAGTATGATCCACCTGTACTTCTTCTTTTGATAAAGAAGAGGAATAAGAAAGGATGATATCATTAATATTAAGTGAAAGAAAATAATAGTAAAGTAATTAGCATTTATACAGCACTTTTCTCTTAGAATCCCAAAGCTTTTAAGGCACAACCTTCAACATCACATAATTTCAAGGATGCAGGTTATTTATAGTTCCTTTTTATAAAATAAAAATAGTTCCTTTTTATAAAATAAAAAAATGAATAATACACAAAGTTAAATGACTTCCAAGTTAGTGTTACTAAGCAATCAAACAAAAAAAATAAAAAGAGGTTTCTTTATCCATGGTTCAGGGCACTATTTTTAAAACATGCTGCCTGTGAAGTAAGATCTTTCAGGAATGCACATACATAAAATGATTATGCCGTATCCTTTTAGGAGTCACTTTTTTTTAGTTAGATTCTTTTAGTGAATTTATATTATTATTTTCAGTTAGTCTGTTTTTAAGTAACTTTTTTGGCAGTGAGGCCATTAGAGAAGGCTCCCATTTTAGAATCTTAGAGGCGCTCATTATCACCCTAACTAGGAGTGTTATCAAAGTTTTGTTGTTAGCTTGCAAAGACAATTAGAATAAAGGAAACATCCATTACTATATTGATACTAATATTCTTAGAAGGTAAAAGCCCTATTCATATTTTTGATATAAAAGTTACCTATTACCTTCTTCATTCTTTCACCAAAATGACATTTTTAGCTTTCATTCCTGTTGAACCACAAGCTCTGATTCACTAGTCCATCTGAAATAAGGACATACTTACTGGCTCTGAGAATGTTCTCCTTGCTGCTGCACCTGGATTGGACCTGCAAAGAAAGCATAAACTCAGTAATTTAGGGCTTCTAACATAGATAGCCAGATATGTAATGTATTCTTATTGGGCAAACTCCTGAGGTCTAGGAGCAAGGGTTCTATATATCTCAGATATCAGAACATGTTAGTAAAAATATGCTACATTTGTTTTATATATTATTATCCTTTCCTTACTTTAAGTAACCGATTTCCAGAAAAAAATGGGTGTACAATATTATAAATGTGACAGAGTTGTAAAACCAAAGGCAATTTTTTATTTATGTGTATATGAAATTAGCATATGGGAAAAAATTCAAGTTACCACATATTCAGTTGCAAATAAAGACCCTTAATCTTAAGGCATTATGTTTATCTATTGACTAGAATAATGCAATTCAAGTATTAAAGTTGCAATCAAATATTCTATTGTAATGTTTGTTCCATGTTAATAAGGGGAAAATCCTCAGATACAATATTTATGTGTGATTTTAATAACTTTTGTTATTTATTGTATTTATTAATATTGGTTATAAAAGTTGCATCTGTTTGAAATCAATGATTTTGAATACATTTATTTACCAGTTCTTAGGTGTATATATAGTTTATCAATCAGAAACTTTTATGCTTTGATTAAAATATTTTAGTTCAAAGTGGAACATTCTTTTAAATGCTGTAAAACTGTTGAATTCAAGGACCATGCTGAATGGCACTATCACTTGTTAATTTCAGAGTAAATTGCATTTAAACTCCACACCTCTTCCTCCCATTCCACAGCAGCTTGCCCCAAATGGATATATACACAAAAAATTAATTTCTATAGTTTAACACAATCTACTATTGTAATGAAACAATTTATGAAAGGAATGTTGCAACTTAGGGTGGATTATGGTTGTCCTTCCCTGAAAAAAACAATTGTTAATGTTTAAAGAAACAACAACATAAAAAAAATCACATACACACAAGAAAAACACACACACACCAAAAAAAAAAAGAAAAAAAGAGAGAAAATAATTCCAGATGTTAAAGTTATTCTCTTTTGGCCCAGATTGTTTAATTAGATTTAAATATACTAGAATGAAGAAGCTAATCTAGAAAATAGTATTCTTATATTATTTTACTCATAAGTTTTATTGGGGAACAATTCTGGACCAAATGGGAAAGAAATTAATGACTACTTAAAGAAAACAATACAGGGAGGAAAACACAAGAGTGAGGAAAAAAAAAAAGAAGAGATGGGGGTGGTAACTCTAGCAGATAGAAAAGAAAGTACGGGTTTACAGAAGGGGACTATATGTTAATGCTATTTCTTATTGAAAATTCATATCAAGAGGGTAAGAATGACTAATGAACTTGCTGCAAGATAAACAAGCAAGTTGACATACCATGGAATGAAAATAAGTGTTAACTATACCAATACAGCCTTAAAGGAGAAAATAAACAAACACTAATAGAAAAATTAATAGACAAGCTTAATAAAGAGATAAACTACATTTTAAAAAGTGATTCAAAGAACATAAGAGAAAGCTAAAGAGTGAGAGAAACATCTGGGAGAGAGAAGAAAAAGAAAGGGGAAAATGTTGAAAGACAAAAACAGAGTTCAAAGAAGTCAAATGGAAGTCAAGAAAGTCTTCAACAAGATGTAGAAACAGAAGGAGCCCAAACCCATAGCGCAAAGCAATGTTTGCGAATGGAAAGCAGCTCCTTTGATCAGTAATAGTTACTCTTAAGTCGTAGCCTCTATTCCTCCAGAGTTCATCTTTAAGCCCTTCCAATCTAGAGTGGAGCTAGTGTATGGATAGAAACAAGAGATTTATAATGAACAGAGCAGTTCAGATGAGTAGTTCAAATCTTCTCATCAAATGTTTCAACAGGTTTATATAATGTCTAAATGAAAATGGTGGTGAAGAACTAGCCAGCTTTACCAAAACCAAACAAAAAAACAAAACAAAACAAAAAACAAACCCAAAACAAAACAACAATAAAAGAACACCGTGTCCCTTCTGTAGATGGCTTAAAAAATTAGAAAGTCCATTCATAGCGTAAATTTAATAAAGAACCCTGAATTGCTTTGTAGCACCTCATTTTAGAATTATTTTTTTTTCCAAATGGTTTTGGGAGAGAAATTTGGATGATGAAAACAATTCAATTCTGTGAGTCTGAGTTATTTATTTAGGTTCATAAATTGCCAACAGCAGTATTAGCAATGTTTTCTCATTTATGTTACATTGGCTATTTGACCCAGATTGAGGGAAATCACTTTTAAAATCAACAATTACATAAACTTTAGTTATTTTGAGTATGTATGTAAAAATATTGAGGAAAATAATTTTAAAAATGTAATAATATTTATGCATGTAGCAGATGCCCCTCTCTCTTGTACCATTAAAGTGGTCATCTTTATCTATTTATTTTATAAAATCCCAATATAAAGATTTTACTTAACTCACAATGAAATGGAATTTACTTGAAAGAATAAAGTTGAGAAACAACTATTGTTCTTATTCTCACACATATGAACTATAAAGAAGGTAACACAGGTCTGTCTCAAGTTTTATTGCTTATTGTTTTGTTTTATCTTACCCCGGATTTTTACTCAATGTAGAAAAATAAAGTTTGAAAAACAAAATAAAACCAATATTTTGCCCTAATACCAAATTTGTCAGGGATTAAAAATGAAAAATATGGTATTGGATTATCTATTACTTTATTCTATTGGATTAACATCTGACTTTATTGTGTTGACAATGAAGTTCCCTTTCAACTGGAGTCAAAACTACAATAATGATGTAGAAACAGTATATTAAAGTCAATGGAGGAAATGAGATGTATAAGAGACTCACTGAAAATATAGGTATTTATTTACTAATCAAGACTGCTTTCAGACATCAAATAATTCATTTAATTAATTTCAACATGTGTTTACATGTGTAATATAATTTTGCTGAAGATCACATTGCCCATTAACAAATCTTAAAGCCATGAAACAGAAAACAAAAGAGGGGAGAGCACACAATAAATGGTAAGGGAAAAAGTGAAAATGCTTTAAACAAAACTGAGAAAAATTTAACAAACAACCACAATCTTTAGATACAGTTAGAGAAGTGACTTACCTTATGCTTAGGTCATAACAAGAATAGCACAGTGTTTAAAGTCAGCTCTTCATTATGGGAGGTACAATTGAAAGCCATAGGTTATAATAACATGAATTGCTACACAGAAATGAAGACTTTTTCAGCCCAACATGAAAAGCTAACTCTTAAGGAGAACATTTCAAATTATGTTTAATGCAACATGAAGAACAATTGAGGGTGTAAACATCAAAACACATGAATCTCACACCAATAAGAGAGAGACGGCCCAGTCTCTCAGGAACACAGAAGATTTAATCTGTGATCATAATCTGTGACACATAAGGGAAGGCACATCACTCTAACATTGCATGCATGATGTATAACCATCCACTGACAACGCCCCACCCCAACCCCCATCCCACTCGTACACACAAGCCCACTAAGATACAGGGAAAGAATGTAGTGCCAAGCTGTTATGAAGAAAGCAGGACACACAGAAGCGCAGCAGTGGTCATGTGACTTGAGAGGTGTTCTTCCCTTAAACCATCCCATCTCCATGCTTATTTTAAAGAAGCCAGGAAAAGGCCCTCTTCAATGCTGCAGTAGCTACGAGCCCCCAGCATGAAGCTAGTGTGTGGAATTTTGATCACCGTTCCCTGCGATGTCAGGGGCTCTCCAGTGGAAGCCAGATGTGTAACACCAGTTAGTGGGGTATAAATGTATGAATAACAAACACCCTTTCCTTTATGCATTTCACAGAAGTGAGGGAGGAGAGAAACAAATAAATAAAATCCACGTTAAGAATAGGCTCATAACATAAAAATGTATAAATATTAAAATGAAGATTACATTTGATTGCAGGTTAACACAACTTAGGTTTCTTAAAAACTTGTCTCTATTTTGCTGCTCACCAGGCTAATTTGTATTTTTTCCCTGTAAACAGGTGGAATAAATTAATCAATACAATATGACTCATATTGAAAAATTCTGAGCAGTTGGTCAAATGGGGTTAAAGTCAAGAACAAAAGAAATCATTTTTGAGGGTCATTAAGAAAGCCCTTTCTATATTTAGCATAATTTTACTGGCCAGCAGTCATATTTAAAATTAGAAATTAAGCTTCTGTATAACTGCTCACTCATATAATCTGAGAAATTCTATGGCAATTTTTTGAAACACCTAATTTAAATTGTAATCTTTTTACATTTTAAAAAGCAAAAAAAAAAAACAAACCCCTACCTATTTAGAAATTGTTGCTAACTTTCCTGTGTACTTTTCTCTACTGTCAATAAAAGATGGGCCAGTAATAGGGTCATATCAACTCATTAGAAAAGATGCAAATTTGCTTATCTGTAATTGAAGATAGTAGTTAACTTCACCTATTTTATTTTTTGTATGAGATGAGTTTTGAGTCATATGTGGCATGCAATTTAGTTAGATTTTTAATTGTTCAAAGATCATTTATTTATATTACCATTTTCTCTCTCCCTCATCCTATTCTTAGCAGGTCAGAATATGTTTACCTTTCTGTTAGCATGTCTTTATTATTTTAGGCTCTGGGTCCTCCTTTAATCTGTTTTCTCTTGGGGGAAAATAAAGACTATAGGACTCACAGGAGATAATGCAGGTATCATTGATTTTAGCTATAAAGGTGGAAACAAATATCAAGAGTTGCTGTCAGTGGAGCCACTGATAATTGTGAAATACCGTAATTATACACCCTTTAATTGTAACTTCCTCATCCGCTCAAAATGGAGGCAAATACTTATTTTTAACTCAAAGGAAGAAAAAGTATTTATATACAGTTATGTTTTTCAATAGGAATTGACCAAAACTTTTTGGAAATGTCATAGCCATTTGGCCATATGTACTAGTAGGAATGCAAGCCATATAATCTAAGGCATGGAGCAAAGTCTGAACTAACTCCTCTAGCATAATCCTTGTACGTTTGAACTCTTAGGCCTTAGACAAGCTGTTTACTCTCTCTGGAATATCCTGTTGCTTATTTTCTAATCTAAATACTACTAGTCTTCTAAGATCCAGCCTAAATTGCACCAGGTGCAAAAAATATTCTCCAAGTTCTTAATCAGAAACAATTTCTTCTTTCCCTAAACTCTTTTAATAGCTGTATTGAGATAAAATTTACCTACCATAAAATTCACTCATTTTAGGTATACAGTTTTATGATTTTTAATAAATTTATATGGCTGTACAACTATCACCACAATCTGGTTTTAGGTTTACCTAAACTCATAAAGCCTCTTATCTGAACTTCTATTATAAGAGTTACCACAGTTACTAATATTCCAATTATTGATGCGGGTCCCTGAATATACTGTAGGTTGTGGAGAGAAAGGATTTAACTTTAATTCTTGGTATATTCTCTTTCTATCATGTCAAACATAGTACTTTATACACAGTAAATATTAGCCATATTTGAATATTTGTATATTTTGTAGTAATTATAGTTTTTCTAATCTCAGCAGATTAAAAATGATTTCTCATCAGTATGATCATATCCATTCCTGTACTAACTTAAAAATAGTTTTTACTTATTTGGGTCTGCTAATATTAAGAGATATAATATGAAAAGTATGTGAATTATATCTAAAAAATATATCGGGTAACCTACAGAACGATCTTAAAAGTTTGGAAAACACATTACTATTATTATTACTTAAGGTTATTGGAGTCCAATAAAAGTAATCCTATACCAAAAGTTTCAGTTTAGGTTAAGAAGATTCCTTATTTTCTAAGAGAACAGGATGTTCTATATCTCATACAGTCAGGTCAGTAGAATGAGAGATAATAAAGATTTCATTTTAATTTTTCTATCTTGTTAAATTTATTTAAGAATAATTTGTCTACAAAAGCACGAACTTTACTGAATGCCATTTACTCATAAAAATAAAACTTAAGAAGATAGAAAAAAAGAACCTCCTTGGCATTTCCTCTGATTATTTGCCTCTTTAGCCTACCCAAAACCAGAAAGGTTTGATTTAAACAAATTAAGCCAATGCTACAATCGCAGATTCTTAAATTCTATTTCTTTCTTTTCCAACTTCTTATAACAAAAATGGATAATTGGTCTACAAATACTCTATTCCATAGTTCCATTCATTCATCACTTTATCTATAAATTTGGTTACAAGTACTGGGCTCATCTGATCCTAATAACAACTCATTTGTGTTCAGTTAGGTTTATGATATCACAACACAAATGCAACTACAGAACTAAAGTTTTTGGTTTATTTATGACATGAAAGGCGGTATGATAACAGGTATGGTTTCTAATATTGATTTTTGTCCTTTTCCTAGCTGTTTGGCCTTAGACTCAACAATCAACACCTCAAAGTTTTAATTTCCTAATCCATAAAATGGGGGAAAATTAAGTAGGGTAATGTATGTGAAGGTGAAACTACTATAGATGAAAAAGAGAAATACAGATCTATGTTATTGTTATTATCCTTATGTATGTTGGTAGAAACTGAGGAACAATGAGAATAAAGAATTTGCTTCAGATTATGCCACGAATCAGTGACAATATAATGGCCAATTTCTAGACTATAGTTAAAAAAAGGCTGAGATAAGGTCTAAGGTTATCTTTGCAAGGATTAATCTGCTTTTGCTTTGTATGATTTTAGCTAAGTTACCTCATTTCTATGGAACTTAGTTTCCTCAACTGCAAAATGAGGATATTTTAAGGGGTTTGAAT